GAGCGATGTTTGCCGATGCAGGTAGTGGGTGGAATAAAGCCCGAGTGGTCAAGGTAAGACCTGGCATGGGGTTATGAAATCCCTAATCAGAAGTCTGGGTCACATAGGTCCCGTCAGGCTCCCTGGATGGGGACCTCGGGACAATCGTAATCGGTGGTGAGAGACACTGAGTGATACGGCTGAGTGTCGTAAACAGTGGAGTTCGTGCATCTTGTCAATTTCTTTGCAACATTAGTCTATTGAACTTCCCAATTTTCTCTTCGCTTCTACTTTCAACCTTCCTGTTCTTCTCCTACTGTTCATCAAAATGGGCAGCCAAAAGACAGCAACCAAAACCGGCGTACGATAGTGTATGGTTGATGGCCGTTTAAATTAAAACGGAAACAATCTATTGTTACTTGAAAGTAGGGAAGACTGAACAGTTTGCTCAGTGATCTGACCGTAACGATTGAACAGTTTGATTAGTGTTTCACCGGTAAATAGTGCAGCTGTTCACCATAGGCTTCTTCTCTCATGAAGAAAATTGCATTAAAACCAGCAAAAGCCCTTGCGCTTAATGTATTGGAGACATTCGAATGGTTGCTACCGAGGCCTCTGTCGATGTGAGAAACTGTCCAAATTTATCAGATCCCTCATGCAATTAGTCGTACCAGTAAAAAAGGGTTGGAAATAATACGCACTTGTTGTCATGCTCCTTGTGAAGTGTCGTCACCGTAATGCCATCCAGAACAGTGTGATATGGGTTGCTAATCCTGAGCACTAACTAATTGGGATCTTCGAGCTAGCCTCTAAGCAACGCGCTTCACGTCAAAACAGCATGACGAGGCACTAGTGCCGTTGGATGCACTACTGTGATTGATTCTGATGCACGATATTTTAACAGGGACAGAACTGAACGGAAAATCTTTGTCGTCTATGCGTCGATTGGTAAATGTGAAACTGTCCAGGTGCAGACCAGTGGTAGATTGAAGATTTGCTCTTGGTCTCATCTAATAAATAAATTCAACCCAGTTGAAGCGGGCTCGACCGTGCGTTTCCTTTTTACGATCAATCAACAATTACTTCATAGCTCACATACCTGATGCAAACAAAGGACCCGGGGATACGGCTCAAGTGATTCGGCTTCATGGATTTCGGAACGATACAGGAGCAACTTTTACCACCAAGATTTATGGAATTTTGGTCATGGAACACCTCTCTAAGGTACATGCGCATCTTGGAAACATAAATCCTACAAAGATATTTCACAAAATATTTTAACGGCATCTACCAGCATCCGGTTCAGTACCACACCTAACCTATCGGGGCCTTATGTGGTTCGCCACTTAAAGTCCCGGGGCTTAGGTTACCGGTTGCCCTGACGGCACAGCAGGTCCTTGTGACTATGGGGTTCGCTCCCATCCGCTGCTCACCACACAAATGTGTGTAATGAAAAATTAATAAAATCTCCCTGATTGTACAAATACCCAGACATGATAAACGGTAAGGCGTCATGTTACCGATGTTCAAAACCCGCAGACACTAATGACTAACTCTATTGGGATTCACAGGAATGAAAACTCACCAAAGGTTGTACGCCAACAATTCGTCGGGTGCAATAGGCCGGCTCTCCGGATTTACCGGTACCTGAATCTGCGTAGTCAGTCACCTCTCGCAGACACGGATGTCCATCTTCATCAAGCACATGTTCTGACTCAGCAGGCTCACTGAGGATCTCATCCCACCGAATCATATGCCACAAAGAGCGCAGTAACAGGGCAAGGTGGGCAAGATCTTGGCCGGCAATGTTGCGCACATCACCGGAATGGGGATTCTCGACAGCATAGGACGATGTGCGCCGCAGCAGACTCAGACGGAAACGCCAAGTTTCCATGAGACTAGGTTTTGCAGTAGGATAGGGCCAAACAATCTGTTCAAGGAGAATATAGAGATCTAGAGTACATTTTTCCTTGCTTAACCACACATCACGGATGAATTGTCAGCTCGCATACAGAATGCTCGATTGGCATTTGCCAACTTGAGACATCTGTGGCGCCGTCGTGACGTCCGGCTGTTTGTGAAGGGTCGGTTGTATGCTGCAGCAGTTCTGCCATATGGAGCAGAAACTTGGCCATTAAGGAGGCAGGACAAAGATAGACTGTCGGTATTTGAATATCGCTGTCTGCACAGCGTTGCACGAATCTGGCGGGGGCAGCCGGACGAGCGGTGCTGAGGTCAGGCGAAAAGTTTTAGGCAACCGCGGTCTTCCACTGGAGCAATTGGTCGACCTCCATAGATTAATTTGGTTGGGGCATGTGTTACGCATGTCACCAAATAGGTTGCCACGGCGAGCGATGTTTGCCGATGCAGGTAGTGGGTGGAATAAAGCCCGAGTGGTCAAGGTAAGACCTGGCATGGGGTTATGAAATCCCTAATCAGAAGTCTGGGTCACATAGGTCCCGTCAGGCTCCCTGGATGGGGACCTCGGGACAATCGTAATCGGTGGTGAGAGACACTGAGTGATACGGCTGAGTGTCGTAAACAGTGGAGTTCGTGCATCTTGTCAATTTATTTGCAACATTAGTCTATTGAACTTCCCAATTTTCTCTTCGCTTCTACTTTCAACCTTCCTGTTCTTCTCCTACTGTTCATCAAAACGGGCAGCCAAAAGACAGCAACCAAAACCGGCGCACTATAGTGAATGGTTAATGGATTTTCAACCTGACCTCTGCGTGTGTTAGACGATTGGGCAGCTGACGCTCGAGGTATTGAGATGACGCTGCCAAGGCGGATTGCTCGCTCCGTTTGATTATTTTTTTATCACACTTTCATGTGATGAACAGCAGACGGGGAAATCCGCATAGTGACGAGGACCTACTGCTCGGTGTTGGAAACCGGTAATCCAATCTCCGGCATTTGGAGTGGCGAACCACATAAGGCCCCGTTAGGTTAGGTGTGGTATTGGACCGGATGACAGCAAAGACGCCTACCGCTATTCAGTAACCAACTGCGCTTTATATGGCAACGGTTCAGTACCAGTTAACAGCTACAGAACGATGTGTCGTTGGTTGTTCGTGGTATAGCTGTATTCACCGACCGATTGCAGTACACACGAAATCGAAGATGAATTCTACAGGGACTTGTCTCAATTACTTCAGTGTTGGATCAACGGACATAATGATGCTCCATATGACAAAGCGCGCATATCCCTCGAAAGGCAGATCATCAAGATTCCGAGGAATGACCGCGAGAAGTGGTGGGTAGAGAATGCTGTGGCTATTGGTAATATACGCACTCTTTTCCGTCTAGTCAGGAATGCGGGCAGCAGGAAGACAGACGAGAATGAGATAACTAGGAATCCGATGGCACACGGATTCGTCACCAGCAACGCCGTTTTGGTCGATGGGCTGTACATTTCGAGGCTCAGCTCAACTGGCTCCCATCGACTTACGACCTGTCACCACCTCAACTGGGCAAACACTAACTTTATGTTAGTCCTCGGGAATTGAGTCAACACAAAAGGCATAAGGCCTCCGATCCGGATAGGCTGTCCCCATTGGCGTATAAAGATGGGGGCTCAGCGTTAGCCTTGAAGTTGACGAAATCAATATGGGAGAGGGAACAGGTTTCAACTGATGTGGATCGGCCATCATACCGATTTACAAGAAAGATGATGGGTCCCCTTGAGAAAACCACAGGGAAATTAGCCTAATCGACACTGTCCCTAAACTTATTGTTGGGATCATGCTCCACCGATCATCTGCCGCACGTGAGCGGTGCACGCGTGAGAATCAGGATACCTTCAGACCTGGTCGAGGTTGTGCCGACCACATTTTCACTCATCGCCAAATTCTGGAGCGCCGACATTCGTTTCACAGACCCACCGTCTCTCTTTCAATCTGAACGCGGGCCTCGACCGCTCTTTTCCTGAAGGGTGAACCCGAGGAGTTTATTTTAATTTCGCGGTCCGTCTCTACTGACAGCTGATTTCGAGCTTACGGCACTTTCCTGTCCGAGTTCTCTAGAGAAAGTGATGTTCATCAGGGTTGCCCTCTCTCCGTTTATATTTAACTTTGTCAGATTTGATTATGAAAGCGACACTACCCTCGTACGACGGTAACGGGATCGTTTTGCTCCCACGTAGCAGTCTGACCTGGAGTACGTAGACGAAATTGAACCACACACTTTACTCATGAAGCACCTCACTTCCCACCCGTCGAGTTGCTAGAGCACCAATAGGACCTGGTTCTGTTACTATATTGGCACTCACATCTGAACTAAGCAACCGCATACATCTTTCATTCTTGCTCACGTACACAAGCACATACCGTAATTATCCCTCTAACTGCTCTAAAAATATATATTGTAATATGTGATCAGGCACGTTTGGTCGCTAATTCCTAAGGGCTTAGGTGCACTTAGGCTTAGTCGGTACATTAGCTTGCCATGAGATATTTGATGTTTCGGTGCATTGTTTCTGACGGATCGCTCCTTTTTGCTTTCCGTTAGTTACCTCCGAGTTTGTATTTTCGTGTCATACCTTGCTGAACCGGTTTCGTAACGATGCATTTGGTTTCGTGGTTTCTTGCGCGTCGCTTTGTCGGCTGTAAACAACATGGAATTAGCAGGATATGTGCGAAAGGGTTCAGTGACTGTTGTCTGACATTGGATTGATTGAACAGACTAGTGTGTACTAATACGGTACAATTTATTTGACCACCGTCACCGAAAGGGATAATTCACAAGTAAAACCACTCCATGGGTAACCAACTACTTTTGATGAATTTGAAAAGAACAAAATTATAGCTAAAGTAGACTGTATTTCTTACAAGACTGCTAATTCTCCGGAGCTCACACAGCTGGGTGGGCGCATACCACAAGTTAATACACAGGCAACGCGGTGGATGTTGAAAACCAATCATCGCAGAGTCCGGGTAAAGCGATCGCAAATGAGGTGTGCAGTGTAGACCCTTTCACAGAGGTTGTTCTAATGCTTCGCGGTAGGTGCGAACCTTCCGTGCAATGGACATGTCCACAAACCGATCACCAATGCTTACAACCATGCCTCCGATCAATGTGGGGTCGGTCTGTGGGATTTGAGAGAGAAAAAGGAGATTACTTAAGTGCCGCAACACGAACCAAAAGTACTGAGATCTCATTAAATGATTTATTATGGATGCTAGAACCCAAAGGGCATTTGTATCACTATAATTCAAGAGAACAAACTTTTCAAGTTCATTGCTAACAGTCATAACATACCTGTAAAGTCAAGTGAAGCTTTTCTCCAGGCTTCAGGAACTCATTCAACGCAGTTCGCAATTCCTGTTCCATTGTACGATCCAAAGCCTTGGCCGTACGTACCACGCATGCCACCTCACCTCGATGAGCGCTCATGATCTGAGCGAATTTATCTAGAACGACATTTATTCGAGCAAGACGACCGTTCTCTGCCAAAGTAACTGTAGCAAAAGAATGAACAAGAAAATTAGCCTTATAGTTTGATAACAATTTAGTCTGGCGTTGAAATCCTGTGGTTCTGATTTTTTTTCAGTGCTACTTACGACATAAAGACAAAAAAGCCATTCGGAAATGTTATCGTATAGTTCCGCCGATCTGGTCTATCAATACCAACCAACTACCCAGATATCGTAAGTATGGCTTCCAATCTGTATGAAAAAGCAAACTGGTCTTAAACTGAATTCTTTCATATCTGTTGAGTCACACTCCATTCAGCGATACTAAATTGGCTGTGCTGCGAAAGTGTATTTCATCCACCAGTCTTTGTTCTTGTTTTTATTCCGTTTCATCATTCATAGAACTCATTTATGATATGCAATACTACGTTTTCTGTTCGTCCAAAGCGAACTGGAAGGGCAACTTGTTCATCATTTCAAATTATTGACCTACGACCTCGTCTGATAGGCCGTTAAAATGAACACTTACTGAACATATTTTTTGTTTGTGGATTCGCCTTCAGTTTGTCCAAAACCTTGCCGAACTCTGTAACCTTAGCTGCGCGCTGCAAGCTGGGGTTGACACAGAATTCACGCAAACGAACATCTTTCGCAAGGGTATCCCGAATGGTGTTTAAATCCTTTTCCACAGTGTCCAAAGTCTTCGATTTGGATGCAGCAGAATACAGCGCCGTTGCATACCGACCTTCGACCCCAAAGACCTGTATGGGGGGCTATTGAAAAAATAGGAGACAAGAAAAACGTTCGCCACCCGAGTATTTCATTTTCTCGGATTGCCGGAATTAGTTATTGAACACGTATTCAAAATCACGCTGGTTAAAGCTTGGGTTTGTCTCTTGTCTAGTCATTGACAAATCCGTTTGACTGCTAACAGCTAGTGATTTCGTGCGAATGACGTTTGGAGCACTATGGGGAGTCACTTGCTGTATTCTACACAAAANCTATTTGACCCCCCTTTTACTATGCTATATATCCCAATCCCGTTATTCTTGTTGGTGCGCTGGAACCAAGCTTGCTCGCAAGCCGGGTGGGTGTCTAGGGTTGACTGGTCACCCTTCCCTTGAACTTCGCGAAATGCTCCAAGAGTCTCAGATAGCTTCTGCTGAGGAAACCCTACTCACTGCCTTCCCGTGGTGGTGATTTTGCACCAAAGTGAGGATGAAAAGCCGATATCCGGGCTATTGACCGGGTTGTGGGACCACTGGCAGTTCCCCTAGGTGAGTTGACCAAAAACCCTGATTACAAACCAACCAAGGAGGCGCACGAACCACGCACACCTTCCCAGTGTTTGCAGTGATCATCGGCTCAATTGGGCACCTTGGACGTTTGATTCCATCTATAGGGCGTATGATCCGACGAACTGGACACGACCCACAATGGATTGCGGTTTTACAAAACGCTCTGCTGCCTTGCGGGTCAGGCTTTGGTTAGCCGAAGGCTCCCCAAGAAAATTCACTTGCCTTGACCTGAGCAACCTGACAGTATTCAGCCCATATGCAAATCATGGAACGTTTTTCTTTTTCATAAGGATTATCGTACCATGATTTGGCATAGTCTGGCGGTAGATGTGTGTGAAGTATATACATTCATTTGTTACTGGATCGCGTGGTTTGACGCTCAATAAATATCACGTTACGAATCTTTTTCTCTCATTATTTTGTTGACTTCCTCTTATTGAATATATAATGATACTGTTCTCAGAAAGGGGCTGTCACACAAGGGAGTGAGAAAAGTCAGGTGGTGGTTGTGGTGTTGGAATTTGAATGTCGTATGGGGTTGATAAATCGGTTGCCTTCA